ACCTAAATTAAAATTTCCCCTATTCATTTTAGACTCAATAATCAAAACTTTTATAAATTTAAAATATAGAAGAGAATCTTATCATATTGTGTAGCCACATATGTTATAATATAGTTCAATGAAGTTAATTAAAAACAACAAATTAGTAATGAAACTATACTTTAATTTATATGAGATCTAAATTAATAATCGTAACTTATTAAAATATTTTTTTAAATGTATGATTATACAAATAATATGAGTACATTATAAAAATATCAAAACAAGCACAAATTTTAATATAAAATTTACATTACAAAACATTAAAGTACTCATATAAAATGAAATCTAAAACTAAATTTAAGATCATTGGAGCTCTATTTTTAGCAAATTTATAGTTAAAATAATGTCAGTCAACAATATGGACCCAATGATAATCTGATATTAGTTAAAAATGAACATCATTATATCACTAAAAAGCATAAATAAATATAAATTGTGTAGCGAGCTGTAGGCTCAAAAGTCCTCTAATGTTTTATGTATTTAATTATAGTAAATAGAGCACTTCAATCAAACAAATCAAATGATCTTAATATTCTAAATTACGATATCATATGGCATGAAGATGCCCCATATCCATCTTCTATGCCACAAAGTATCACATCCTCTAAGGAGAGCGACCAAAAAAATCGTCCAACATCACTCAAATTATGATGTTCTTCATATATCATTACCTAAAGCATACAAATAACCAAAATATGGTATCCCATAGCAACTAATGCCTAATGCATACCACACTAATAACCTATACTCCCTTCTAATTAGGAGAGTTACAAAGTTGGGTGTCTAACATTATTTGACCTTTAATGCTCCTTATTAACTGTCAATCAACACCTACAATGGCTAAGACTTAATGTTTTCTAATCATTTACATATGACGTAATCCTTACAAATCATTTAGTATATTTTCTTATAAGGACAACGAACATGTTGAAAAGTGATGTCACTTGACATTTAGCATTCCTTATCAAGCATTGCCTAATGTCTTTCAATAACCAATAAATGACATATTATAACATTTGATATTTGATGCAACATTTCTGATCATATCATGATCTCCCTCGTATAAAGAGAGCTACCCAGCTGATTGTCCATTATCACTCAACCTTCAATGTTCCTTGTTAAGCATCATTCGACATCTATCAATGGCCAATGCCTCTGAGTCACCAATGTATAACACCCATGTACTTGGTCTCTTGATTTGCTCTCTTATAAGAGAGTGGTTAAGTTAATAACTGTAATATCAGTTTTTGCTCCAGGTTCGTCCGGACGAAGTCGGATCGTCCGGGACGATCGGTACAGGTTGTGCAGAGAAAATCATGTTTGGCTGTATGGTTCGTCTGGACGAAATCCTCGGGTCGGGTCGTGACAATAACAACCCATAATATCCAATGTTCCTCTTCGAACATTTCCCAACACCGAGGAGTGACTAATGTTTGATATTTATCAACCATCAATATTCAACTTTCATATTCTAGGTTGCTTGATTTCCACTCTTATAAGGAGAGCAAATAATCTACCTATACAATGTCACTTGACCTTTAATGATATTTGTTGTACTTTTCTCAATGCATATGAAAATCAATATCCACAACCAGCAAACAACTGTGTCTCATGTTAGACTTATCAGTCGACTAGTCTCTTAAGTCATTTGTCAATCGTCCCTTGACTAACAACATTCCTTGCCTCCTTGACACCCGAAGCCCACCAATTTTTATGTTTTCTTATATATCGATCATTCTCCTCAATTACAAGAGAATAATTAGCTTGATCACCTATAATCACTCATCTCAAAATTTCTCTTATGGCCATCATAGGAAATATCATGCACAATTCACATTTATCATTTTCCACGTAAAAGTCTAATTTTTCTTGAGAGTTCCTTTCAAATTAAATTGTTTGTATGATACTTCAAATCAAAGTAAAGCTAAATTTTCACTCTGCTATCACAAATATTCTAACACATAACAAGTAATTTTTTTATATACTATTGGATATATATATATATATATATATAAACTATTATCGGTTTGATTTTTTTGGAGAAAATAACATTTTCCTGCGGATTTAATGGTTTTCGCGAAAATATTTTCGCCTTAAAAAATGAGCGTCAGAAACAAAACTCTGGCGAAAAAATTCGCCCGAAAAATTTTCTTGCAGAATTTTCGCCGGAAAATTATCCGACGGATTTCCGCTGGAATATATAAAAAATTATATAGCAAAGCTGCAGCCCACGACATCCACCTCCCGCACAAGCAACCTGCCGCTCTACCGGCCCAACCAGGGCGTGAGACGCATTGTTCGGCAAGCCCACTTGTGACCGTTCCCTAATCCCCCCCCTGCAACCCTGAATTCTCCCCCCACCTGCCAGTCAGCCGACCCAGCCCGCTAAGTGGCCTTAGCCCAACCTACCGCCTGCCGCGTGAGCCGCAGTCAGCCCGAACCAGTGCCCGCCAGCCCAATCCTTCTTGCCTGGATTCGAACCCCCTACCTCTTGAAAGGATTTCACAGAGCCTTCCACTTTGCTGCAGAGCAAAATGTGTTTTTATATTATATATTTTATATTTAAATAACATTAAATGTATTAAAATTAATAAATAAGCTCTGAAATTAATATTTAAAAAAACTAAATTATTAAATCAATATTTTAATTAATTAGTAATTTAATAACTTTTTTTTATTTAATTAAGAATACATTAAAATAAAATATTAAATTTATTATAATTAAGATAAGTTATTTAATTAATAATTAATTAAATAAGCTATTATGTTAATAATTAAGTAACATAAATTATTAATAGTAATTAATTAAAATGATCGATAAAATTATTAATTATTTAAATTATGAAAAAATATATATTTTTATAAATTATTAAAATCCGTCGGAAAATCCGCCGGAAAGTCCGCCAGTAACAAATCCGCCGAAAATACGCTGGAAAATTCTTCGAAAAATATGAAAAAAAAAAATATGGCTGAAATATCTCATTGTAATACGTCGAAAATCCGCCGGAAATCAGTCCACCGGAAAACTGCCGGAAAATCTGCCGATAATAGACAGTTTTCTTGTAGTGATATATTATAAGACCATCTCGTACTTAAAAACTCATTTTCCACACCAAAATGTATTAACAATTCAAAATGCAGTAAATCATCTCCAATCAAACTATATTTCTTAACACTAAAAAAGAATATTCCGTATGTATTCTTTCTTAACAAAACTCCACGCGCCAGCCTTTCTCCACCTCCGCTTTCTTTGTTTTCATAAAATAATGCATTCGTGAATAGTGCGCTGCCAATATTGCTGTCGCACTTTTCACAAACGGAGAATTGAGCACATTTTGCAGTTTGATTGGAGCAGTTCGTGGACGTCAAACGTGTGTAAGGAGTTTGATTGGGGATGGCCTAACAAGCATACACCTCACCATCATCTACTTATCTTTTTTTGAGGGGTCATTAAGTCAATTAAGATAAACTCACACACACATCACATATATAAGACTCAAATTAATGACTTCTTAGTTAATTGATAGCCAAAACTCTCTTCCAACATAACAAAAAGACTTCTGTCTCTCCTTTTACTTCTAGTTATTTTATATGAATATTCCAAAAAGTCGAATTTAAGCTTCGTTTGGGACGGCTTTTTTAAAGCTTTTTAAAGAAACTTTTTAATACAAAAAATTTTATTTTTATGCTAAATAGCTGCTTCAAAAAACAATAAAAAAACCGTTTCAAATAAAGCCTTAAACTGCAAGTAAAATATATGTTGCATGCATCGCCAGCTTAAGCGAAAGCAATGCCATACACCTACAAATGATGCTTCTACACTTCTCTTCTCCACTTGTTTTTTTGCTTCATTCCGTCTGTCTTTTTCTATCATTTTAAAATCTCAAAAACAAATTTAATCATAATTATTAAAATTTCTCTATGAAGCCACATAGCCACCTCATATAAACATACATTGAAAACGGCTTACTACACGTTACCGTCGAGGGCAGTTTTTTTTGTTTTTATCGCTTTACTGATTATTTGGCAACAGATGCCTTTATACTTTTCAATAATTTTACAAAGAGAATAAGCTTTTCATCAAATCATACTGGTTAATTAATGATCACTTATGTTTTTTTTTTCTTAATCACCATTTTTATTTGAAAAAATGAAAAAACTATAAAAAAAAAAAAACTTTTTTTTTATTTAAAAAAATGAGGAAAAGCTATTAAAAATTAAGATTTTATTTCGAACAATTTTTTAATAACAAAAATTTGTATGAAAGTAACAAAAAATAATAACAAAAAACTGTCTCAAATAAAATGTAAGACTTTATTTGAAATAATTTTTTAATGCTTCCTAAAATAAATTTCTAGTTCAAAAAATTTTTGTACTATAAAACAACTTTAAAAATAATAATAAAACTATCTCAACCAAAGTCTAAGGCTTAGTTTGATTCAGATAACAACTATAAATTCTATTTAGCTATTACTTTTTATTGGTTTTAAAAAACTATTGTACTAAAATATTATTTTCTACAACAATTTTACAAAACTATTTTCTTTGTAATAATTTTATAAAACAATAAGAAAACTATCCCAAACAAAACTTAGACTTCATTTGAGATGACTTTCTTACTGTTTTACTTTTCAGCCCACAATCAAAATTTTTATTAGCTATTTTTTTCACTTTTTCAATAAATTTCTATTCTAATAAACTACTTTCTACAATAACTTAAGAAAAATATATTTTCTCAACTTTACAACGTTGCAACCCTCCCAAACATGAGAAAATATTAAATGGTTTCATCTATTTTATATAAGAGAGAGAAAATCAAACTGTTTTTATAAGCCCGGACTCCGCACGTAATAAACACTGCTCAAACAGACCCTAAGATTGCTACTCTTTATATTACTAAATTCAATTACTGAAATATGCTAACTTGATTTCACATATATCTATACTAATTGCAAAGGTTCTCAATCGTCAAAAGCATCAATCTTATTTTATAAAGCTGGAATATAATTATGAAATTAAAGTTGCACATAAAATTACACAAACGGAAATAGCACTTCCTACATATTTCTTATTTACCAAATAAGGACTTAATCCACCAAATACCCTTTTTGTCCGTTGGGCTTGCATCATCACTCTCCGGAGGGGGATCTGCCTGAGGTGTTTTATGTAACTTACTAACATCATAGCCTTCTTCTTTTGCCTTCTCCAATAACTGATTATATAATTCATCATCAATATGAGTTGTCCTGCTCAGTATCTGTAATACCGATGACAAATAAAACTATTCAAGACCAAATTCAAAAAGTATATATATGTTTATATACCTAATACCTAAACTTGCCAATTTGCTGATATATAATTCTCAAATTAAAAAAAAAAAATTCTCATATTTTTTAGGGTCTATTGAGGATGGATGTGAATAAAGTGTCTTATAAATGTGAAGTTTTTGTATGGAAAATAATTTTTTTGATAGCTGTCATAAATATTATAAATATATTCTTTATGAAAAATACAATAATTTGTTTTTTTAACTACTAAATTAGCAACATAAAAAATAGTTTACCACCATAAAGTAGAAGCTAAATGGAAATATAATTGCGGTCGGAAAGGCAAATCAATGAGCAAGTTGTCCCAAACAGATCCTATCACTACGATATATCTTAACCTTCATCTAAAAGCCAGAAAGAAAATCACTTTGAGATTAAAGTTAAAGTGTTTAAAATAAGTGAGATTTTTATTGCACTAAAAAAATTGAGCCATATGCAAGTTTATTAGAGCCAAATTTGAGATTGTTATTAAATTACATTTAAATAAAAACTTTAACTTTTAGCATGGCACAATGGACAAAAAAGATTCATGTAGATGATCCCACAGTGGGATAAAAATTTGATGTTGTTGTTATTGCATATGCAAGTTTAGTGGTTAGATATGTGCATGTAAAAGCTGAGTGTAGGCCATTTAAAGGCAAGATCCCCCTTCTTGATCTGTTAACCCAAATCAAAATTAGAATCAACTAAGGTTCTATTTGAGATGATTATAATTTTGTATAAAATTAGTTGCAGAGAAAATAATTTTGCTACTATGATCGAAAAAAATTTAAATAAACTAATAAAAAGCAACAAAAAATTAATAGCCAAATAAAATTGCGACTGTTATATAAAATCATAATAGCCAGAAATACCATAAGATATTATTACGTGCGGAGTCTGGACGTAGCTTTCGCCCGGATTTTAATCACGCATTTACACGAATATGTTCTCTCACTTGCACACACTAGGTGATATTTTTTCTCCATACAGACCCTTAATAAATTTTTAGTAAAGAAATCTCAGTTTTGGGTTTAGGTAGGCTAATATTTTTTTATTGGAAGATGTTGCTATTCAATTGACTGCTAGGAATGGGGAAAAATTAGGTAAGGAGAATCCAAGCATTTATCAGTGAACAGTCGTTTCAAACAAACGAATCTCCGTTGACCCATTACCATCCTATTTGCGGATGCATCTCATTAAATTAATCAAATCTTCGTATGAAATTGAATCGAAATAATTATCAACTCATTGAAAATGAAACCAAGTTGCTCAAAGACATAAGATGCCCAAAAGAAACAGATCCTACACAATCCTCAATTTTATGCTACTAAACTCGCTCCAATGATTTATGAAATCTTCAACTCGTTTGGTATTCCCCTGCCTACAAGTTGTTCTTTGTTGGATTCAATTTAAACCTAATCATCGAAGGGAATTTTTGAATCCTAATCTCTTTCTCACTGATCCCCGAATCCATACTGGAGTCTTAATATCTCCAGATGCAAATTTAAGTAATTCATCGATTAACTTTTCATCAAATCCCAATATCAAATCAATATATATTCTTCACGTAAGATTCTACAAAGGCTCACATATGTATGCCCGACATAAATATAGACAAAATGCTTGCGAGCAATCTCGAGATAAGCACACGAGAAATTAAATCCTTCCATCGAATCTACCTCATCAATAATCCCCCAACGATTTTGTTCATCGTTCTTCATCGCATCAAAAGATTTTTAAAGAAAAAAAAAACGCAATCAACAATATACATCAAAGGTACAAAAATACTAACCCAGAGATAACTGCGAGCCGGCTCTCCAATAAGCGCATAAGTATAATCCGGATCAAGGAAGAGAACCCAATAGTTGCCGGTGACAGGAATGATAGGGAAAAAGGGCGGGACGTAGAATTTCACCTTAAACTTAGCCTCATCGTTGTTAGGATTTGCCTTATAAGCAGAACCCTCGATAGAATCCCTCTTTCCATGGCTCCATGTCTCATTAAGAACATGAACGGTTCCATCAGCATTGAGAGAATAGGTAGCACGGGTGTTCACACCGTCTCTGGGTTGGAAAAACGAAGGTATTGAAGCAATTTCATACCATCTTCCAATGTATCTGTTAAGATCGAGACCATGGACTACAGTCATCTCTTTGCTCCCTTTCCCCATTTTCTCTTCTTCTGATTTTTTTGCTTTCGCTTCTTCGGTCGGTTTGGAGATGGAGAGGGCTTCTAGGGCTTATATTGAAATTTTTTTGAGCAGGGGAGAGCCTGGGAGGATAACGTTGGAGACGGAGGAGGGGGACGTGGAGGGTTTATGACTCCACGTTAACTGTTATGCAAATTTGCTCTCATCTTCCAGAAATTCTTCGCACTTCGCAGTCGTAGCCGCAACCTTTGTCTTCATTTTCGAAGCAGCAGCCACAGCCTTCGACTTCCTATCCTTTGCACCTTTAAGCCCTCATCTTCTTAGTTCTTACTTGGCTCCTCGGTTTGAAGGGGGGTTTTTTTTTTCTTTGAATCAATGAAATCACTGGTTTATTTTTTTTGCTAAATCATTGTCTGCATGATTGTGTTACTATATTAGTTTTATTCCTAAAACTAGACGGATATTATCAATGGATTAAATATGCTTCTTAATTCACTGTAAAACCAAATATTAATGTAAATAGCTAACTTTCTGGATAAAGTTCTGTATTTAAAAAATAAGAATAAAACTATTAGGAATAAAACTTATTTCTAGGTGTTTTCTAACATCTTCAACTATGTCACCAATAATCAATCAGATGAAGATGCCTTCTATGCTTACCTAAATAGTTGATCTCTTTGAAACCAATATGATTAAACCATATCTTCCTACAGCTTTTGATGGTTGAACTATAATTTGTTATAATATTGAGTTCGAGATTCAACACTTGTGAGAATGATTATATCTAATTATTAAAAACAAAGAATTTAATAGAAATGAATAGAATATGAACATGAAAAAGATGCCATTTGTTGGAAGATGATGGAAAAGCTTTGAAATTTCTGCATTCCCAAATGTTTGACTTGGTGCTTGTCATCTCTTTACCGAAGGTAACATACATTCCTTGTACCTCAAGAGATGCTCCACCATAGATTGTTCAAATTGAACTAAAGAGGAAGTTAGAAAGGAGAGGCAGGCGCGCCAATTCTATGTGTTAAAACATCAAGACCTATTAATTTTGTCATAATGAAGCCTTAGAGAAAGAGATTCTTTACCTGCTAAGATCTAATCATTGTGAAAGAAGCAGAATTGTCAAAACTTGTTACAATTGTTATATACATTATTTTCCTTATTGAATAGCAACTTTTTATTGTTACTTCACTCTATCATTTCATTCATTGGATTATGAGCTAATTGAAGTGTTTTATTTTGCTAAGAGAATTGTTAGGCTTTTGAGAAATAGAACGATTCTTGAATCGGAAAGAACGTGTCGAGATTGATATTAACAATCTCCTTACTGACCCTGATCTTCGACCCTTTAATCTGGAGTTATGATGTGAATGAGCGTGATAAAGTTTGTAGAGCTTATTTGTTGATAGGACCGCATCAATCAAAAAATCATCATTTCCTTCAAACAATTGTAGGAAATATTGCACGTAGGTTTAACTCTAAATGGTTTAAGGAATTTTCCAATTAGATAAAATACAATGTAAAAAAATATCCTATTTTTTGTCTTTATTGCTACGTATTTAAGCCTCAAGAGCAAATTAGCACTAGCCAAGGTGGTGGAGACACATTTGTTGGTGAGGGATTTAAGAGTTAGAAGAGACAAGAGAAGCTTCTAAGTCATGTTGGAGAACACAATAATGCACACAATAAGGCAAGACAGAAATGTGAGGCTTTAATGAAGCTTCAAGAATAGAGTATTCCCGCTTTATGGTTAAGCAAGGAAGAGAAGCATAAAAAAGAATATCACATCATGTTAACTATAGTTGTTGATTATGTTCGATTTTTTATTCGACAAGGGTTATCATTCGGTGGCATGATGAATCATCTAACTCTAAAAATCAAGAAAAATACATAAAACTATTTCAGTTTCTTACAAATCATAATAAAGAGGCCAAAAAAGTTATATTTGAAAATATAAGTGCTAAATTAAAATTGATTGCACCAAAGGTCTAAAAAGATATTTTTAGTTCTATTATTGTTAAGACCTTGACTATAATCATGAATGATATTGGTGATTCTTAATTCACCATTCTAGTTGATGAATCCCATGATATTTTTGCAAAAGAATAGTTAATTGTTGTAGTAAGATACATAAATAAGTTAGGCCAAGTAATTGAGAGGTTTATAGGTATTAATCATGTTTCTTCAATAAATGCAATAGCACTCAAGGCATCAGTCGAAGCTCTTCTTGTAAAATATTTATTAAGTATATATATAATACGGGGTCAAGGTTATGATGGAGCATATAATATGCGATGAGAGTTTAATTGCTTGAAATCACTCATTCTGAAAGATAATCCTCATGTATTTTTTATTCATTATTTTGCTTATCAACTTCAATTATATTTGGTGGATGTTGCAAAAAATCATTGACAAGTTAAACATTTGTTTGAGATCACTTCAAGAATTATAAATATTTTTAGAGATTTATGTAAAAGAAATTATACTCTAAAAGCTATTCAATATGACAAAATAGTTTTTCATTTAAGTAGTGGAGAGTTAAATGATGTCCGAGGTTTGAATCAATAAACTAATTTGCATCATACTGGTGATACCATTGGAGTTTACATTTTTAAATATTAATTAGACTAGCAAAAATATATGCTTTTAAACTCAAAGTGTTTGAAATTATCAAGTAAGAGGGGATACATGATCAACAATCAATTGAAACTGGTGTTTTAATAAATGTTATGGAATCTTTTGACTTTGTCTTAGCATTACATTTAATAATTGATATTTTAGGGATTATAAATGAATTATTACAAGCATTATAAAGAAAAGATCAAGATATTATTATAAATGCAATGAAATTGGTATAAGTGTTCAAACAACAATTGCAGATGATGAGGGAAAATGGATGGGTGCTTTTACTTGAAGAAGTGTCATAATTTTATAATGTTTTTGAAATTGAAATTCCAAATATGAATTCTAAATTCAAGGCTTGTGGATTATCAGTATGAAAATATGTAAAAATTACAAACTTTTATCATTATCGAGTTGATTTATTCTATGAAGTTATTAATATGCAACTTTAGTAACTAAATAATTGATTCTTTGAAGCTAGCATCAAATTATTTCTTTGTGTGACATGTCTAAATCCGAGTAATATGTTCTCTATTTATGATATGGGAAAGTTAATTCATCTTGTATAGTAATATCCAACATATTTCTCTATGATTGATCTTATGTCTCTAGAGTATCAATTATCTACTTATATTATTGTTATACGTACTAGCAATGAGTTTACATCTTTGACTAGAATTACTGTTCTTGCAAAATAGATTGTAAAGGATAAAAAAATATTATGTATCCACTAGTTTATAGATTTATTATTTTGGCACTGACTTTACTAGTTGTCACTACTACGATGGAGAGAGCATTTCTACAATGAAGATTATTAAGTATTATCTAGATAACAAAATGGGTGATGTCTGGCTTAATGATTATCTAGTGTTATATATTGAGAAAAAAAGTATTTGATTATGTTCCGAATAAAGTCATTATGCAACATTATCAGAAAATGCAAAGTAGAATGCAAAGTTTATAATTTTCTTTTTAATTTCATAAATTATAATGAAATAAGATGTTTTTCTTTGAATTTTGCTTGGTATTTACTTTTTTAATATTGAGTTTTCCCACCCTAAAAAAAAGGGCAGGATCCACCACTAACTATAGGTTAATAATAGATTTATATTGAGGGAGTACTCAAACCTAATATATTCAAGTAAACATAGCTCGGTTGGCATTATCACCATCGCCTTTCTGAGGCACAAGCTAGTTAGAAAAAGTATACAACTTATCTTGATTTGTTGATTGGGAGCTTTGACTATCAATTAAGATGTTTTGGAAATGATCCCTTTGTTGAGTCTAGTGAATAGGTTTTTAGACCTAAGTTAATGTCCCAAGGCTACCAAGAGGGGGGGTGAATTGGTATTTTTAAAATTTAAACCCTCTTTGAATTAGTGATGAACCGAAATGAAATTTTTTTATTAAATTTTATAGAAAAAGTTTTTCAACCACAGAGTTTTTAAACAAAAGTAAAATGCAAAAAATAAAATGCAGTAAAGTAAATGACACAAGATTTATAGTGGTTCGGTCTAAACCAGACCTACATCCACTCCCTAGAGGCACCCTCTGAGTATTGCACTAATACCAATAGCGACTCTCCTTTTGCACCCACAGCAAGACGGATAAGCCTTTACAAAACACTCTTTTCACCACTACCCAGTACGGCAGAGAATCGTCATCCTTTTACACAATCCCCAGTGTTTAGGTTTAACTTAAAATGGTTTGAACAATTTTTCAATTGGATAGAATACAGTGTACAAAAAGATCTTATTTTTTATCTTTATTACTACGTATTTAAGCCTGAAGAACAAGTTAGAACTAGCCAAGGTGGTGGAGACACATTTGTTAGTGAGGGATTTAAGAATTGGAAAAAAAAAAGAGAAGCTTCTTAGTCATGTCGGAGAACACAATAATGCACACAATAAGGCAAGACAGAAATATGAGGCTTTAATGAAGCTTCAAGAATAAAGTATTCCCGCTTTTTGGTCGAGCAAGGAAGAGAAGCATAAAAAAGAATATCGCACCATGTTAATTACAGTTGTTGATTATGTTCAATTTTTTATTCGCTAAGGGTTATCATTCTGTGGGCATGATGAATCATCTAACTCTGAAAATCAAGGGAATTACATAGAACTATTTCAATTTTTTGCAAATCATAATGAAGAGGTAAAAAAAGTTACATTTGAAAATGTAAGTGCTAAGTTAAAATTGATTGCACCAAATGTCCAAAAAGATATTTATAGTTCTATTGTTGTTGAGACCTTGGTTGTAATCATGAATGATATTGATAATTCTTAGTTCACCATTCTAGTTGATGAATCCCGTGATATTTTTACAAAAAAATAGTTAGTTATTACAGTAAGATATGTAGATAAGTTTGACCAAGTAATTGAAAGGTTTGTAGGTATTAGTCATGTTTCTTTAATAAATACAGTAGCACTCAAATCATCACTTGAAGCTCCTCTTGTAAAACATTCGTTAAGTATATATAGAATACGGGGTCAAGGTTAAGATGGAGCATCTAATATGC